CCAACAAACCCACAGTGACAGGTGCAAGCCGAGGTCTCATGGGGGGTCAGAGAAGGGGCTTTGGGGTAAGGCCACTTCTCGAGCACCCCATGGCTATGTACACCCTAGTGGCACGCAACCAACGTGATAGTGAGCACAAAGGAAGCTCACATCAACCACTGGTGCCGCAACTGCCCTAAGGGACACAGGCCTGCAAGTTGTAGGTTGCATTACAAGAAGGCCATCCTAGCCTCACAAGCAGATTTAATACGCCTTGTACTACATCCCCACATAATTCCTCGTGTAAACCTCCTTCAAGGAGATAAGCCTACAGGTCATACTGCAATGGAGACGTCACAAAAACAAACACGCTGATGCAAACAGATATCTGAGGAAACGAGTCCCTGTCAGTTTGTCCGTGCAGACAATGCTGTAGTATAGGTCCCACAGAGATTTTGCTCTGCTACTGCGTCCCAAGGGACTCCAGAAGGCGTGCCTCGCCGGTCACAGCGTTCCACCAATCAAGTACTGACGCTGCGCGTCGGCTCCTGATCAGCTGCCACGATCCCGCCGCGGTCGCCACCACCGAGTATTTAGATTGAGCTCCGTCTGCTAGTTCCGATCCTGCGAAAAGGTAACAGAAATAAACTTTAGGTTTTCTGGGTTGGCCCCTAAAACCATTTGCAAAAATATTAGTATATAGGGTCCCTTATTGAAGCCACTAGGGAAAATATTAAATATCCCAGTGGCCTAACGGAGATAAACTTTCTTAGACCCCCAACACCTTCAGTTTTAGGATTTCAAATACAGAATTATACCACAGGGCCCTAAAACTGAAGGTCTTTTGGGGTCTAAGGTTTGGGTTATTTGAAGATGTGGTCTATCCAAACTTCAGGGCTCAGGAGGACTAAATGAGCGACTTCTTTCAGTTACTGTCTGGCTGATCGACGGTGCTTTGAATCTGTGGTCCACCATCTCGTTCCCTTGTCCCTAAACCCTAAACCCTAAACCCCAAAAACTACCTTAAACCTTAGGCGTTTGAAATGCAGGATCTCCTTCGCAACCTTGGAACTTGACAACTCACATGAGCTACTGTCTAAACT